TTGCACTAGCTGTGTGATCTGGGAGGCTTACCTGCACAGTCTGGCCTCACAATGTTTACTTGGAACATGGGGATAATATGCCTACCTTGATGTGTTGTGGTGAGGACCATAATGACTGAAAAGCTCTTAGTGCCTGACACATAGTACAGGCCAAATAAATGGTAGCTATTTTTATTGTTGTTGTTGCTTCTAGACTCATGCAAGTTAGGATCAGCACAGAAGTGGCCAGGGCAATGAAGACTTAGGAAATGTGCCTCATTTAGTCCAAGGAAATTGCACCTATAGAAGTGCCCATCCTCACCTCTACCAATGGAAGAACCTCTTGTTGCAATAGACCAGAGGATCTGTGGGACGTCTATCGTCTCAGTTTTTAGTCCCAAGCCTGTGCTAAGAGGCTGCAGGACCCTGTGTGAGCATTTCACATTTCTGCTCAAGTGAGTTAACTATGGCGCTGCTTCTGATTCCCACGTCTGCCCTATGAATACTGGAGCCTGCGTAGCTGGTCACTCTACTGAAGGTCTCAATACCCTGCAGAATTCTATCCAGGAGCCCCGTGGACTGGGAGATACGTGCGTGTGTGTGTGTGTGTGTGTGTGTGTGTGTGTGAACAGATGAGGGTGCCTCTTTGGGAAGCTGGCAGTGGGGAGGAAAGAGGCCCGCCTGGGCGGGAGGGCCTGACTCTGCTCCCCGCCTGGGTTTAATGAGCCCCAGAGCTCTGTGAGGGCTGCTTTTCACCACCTTTTATTTGGTCAGACAGGGGGTTCAATAAATCTTTAGTTCTGTGGACTCCCCTCGTGGAGTTGTTGAAGGAGAAAGCTTTTTGCAAATGACTAGAAAGCCCTTTGCAAATATAAAGTACTTATTTAGATGCAAACTAAAAATCCAAGGTGCCTGTGACTCATCTGGTACCTATTGTGCTCGCTGCACAGACGCAGAGGCTTGCCTGTGTGATGGGTGCCATTTGAGAGCCACTTAAAGAACTCCCTGGTGAATGAATTTGGCTGCATTATTCCCGGGCTCCTCTCGGAGGACTCTAATTCTCAACACTTGGTCTTGTCCTCCTCTTCTGACACATTCTCAGCCCTCTCCCTGAGTTCGTTCTGACCCCCGTGCAGGATGTTGTGGAGGGGGCTGACCCCCTGGGGAGGCAAGGAGCCAAGAGGGTAGGGGCTTGTGCTCAGAGCACTTCCCTCTCTGCTTTTTCAAAAAGAAAAGGCAGCATTAATCCAAGCATCCAGAGCTATGCCTAAGAATCTAATGACAATAGCGTGTTACTTGCTTTCAAAAACCCTTTTATCATTTCCTTTTCTTTCCTATCTCTTTCCACCCTGTTATTACCGATCAGGGCTTCATGACCAAAAAATACTGAATCCATTTGGTTAAGTTTGTCAGACTGGTGACTGGCATTGTGTGAAGACCAAAGGCCTGCCTGAATGACTGCATTTTTAATGAATTGACCAGCTATTTGTCATCAGATGAACAGCATTTAATGCTGTGTATGGCAAACTGCTGTGAAGGATAATGGAGACAGCTTTTCCACGGCCTATTTTCTTTCTAGAATAGGAGGAGGCTCCATTTTGAGGCTTGGTGATGATGGATTGCGCCATATAGAAATACGTGCCAAGAAGGGAGGTGCCTTCCCCATTGGGATCTAAGGTATGGCTGGTCCCTTCAGGTTTCAGGCAGGTGAATGCTGTACATTCTTAGAGTTTTCCCGTATGGGACAGGGCCAATTCAAGATTTATTCTTGTTGGTTGGGTTTTAATTGGTGAAAATAGAAATGGGTGTTAAGCATGGCTGCTGCCAACAAAATGATGCTCTCGGGCAAATTAGAGAAAGGTGCCCTCTCCTGGCTGGCAATTTGCAAAACCCCTTTGGCCAACTCAAGGCTTGATAAAGAAGTACTGGCTGAATTTCTTTCCCACAAGTGTTCAGGGCACAACTTGTGCAACCTGGCCCACAGCCCCATGTGTGTGATTGTGTGTGGGCGGAGTATACAGGCTTGGTCTTGGGAGGGTAGAGAGGAGGGTCCAGAATTTGGAGGACTGGCAGGGGGCTGTCCCAGCCTCTCTCTCAGACATGAAAGCACATGTGGTGAGAATAAGATGGAGTCAGGCAGGCTTGAGCAGACATGCCACAGCTGGTCTTGTCGGTTTAGGTCCTGTTTGACCTTCACTCCAGGTCTTCCAGTGTCACTGTTTTGTAAATTTAGCTCCCATCCTAAAGATGCTTGTCTTGAGTTTAGGTGGCCTGATTTAGGAGATTTAACTTTTGAATTGGAATGTTGTAATAGGTCACTGAGTTATACTGATCATTATTTAAAATTGAGGTTGGTGTGGTCTTTGCCTTGAACTTTTATGTATAAAAGTGTAATTTTGGAAATACAAGAACAGAACAGTCTTGGAGAGGCTACTCTCACTGTTCTCCAAGATCAAAGCCTTCTGACAAAGTCTGATGGTCCTATCCCCATCTCTGCATATTGGCTGACAGTGACAGGTGGCCAGACCCTCTTGGTCCGGTAACAGACACTCTCTTAGTTCTTCCCCTCCTGCCATTCTCTGATGACCTTTCTGAAAGTGCCTGTTTGCAGTATGAGCCTGGGCTACCTTCAGACAGAGAGCACAGTTCAGTTTCAGACTCTCTGCTCCAGGGCCTGTCATGGGCACAGCAGGGGATTCACAGGTGCTGAGGAGCTAGGCCTAGTCTGAGGGTTTGGGGTGGTGGAGGCAAGGATAAAGCACACCAGCTGCCTGCAGTCCAGTACTTCTGTAAATAACACAGTCCCCAAAACATGTACAAAATGTCCAGACATTAGACACAGAGTACTTAGATGTTAGAGTGAAGAGTATTCTAAAATTCTTATCTTTTCACTTTTTAACAGCTTTATTGAAATATAGTTTATACACCACATGGTCCACCCATTTAAAGCATACAATTCAATGTTTTTTTGATGTATTTACAGAATTATGCAACCATACCCCTCTATTTTTAAACATACTCTTTACTGGTATTATTTGCAGCATTATGGATATGTTCTTTAATTTTTTCTCTCGGTTAGATAACCACCACGTGATATCAAAAAAAAAACCAAACAAACATCTAGTCAACTGGGTGGTTTGCAGGATCTCCATAGGAAAGGGTTTTTACGTTCATACCCTGGTTCTTTTGGTTCCAAACTCCCATTTCAGCACATGAAGGAAAGTTCAAGGCTGTTGCTCTAGAGAACATGATGCTGGGCACTGTGAGGAGAGTGTGCACTAGGCTTTGGAGCAAGAGAAGAATGTAGGGCAACCCAGAAAGGGATAAAATTGGACAGGGAGGTTGGGGCCCTCTGGTGGAAAACTTGGAATGCCAGGTTATGGAGGAATATTTATTCCATAGGCCAAGGAGACACTAAGGGGTTGTGAGTAGGGTGGTAGACATTAGGGCTTTTCCATGTAGGGGCATAATTCTGATAGTGGTACGAAGGATCAGCGAGAGGGCAGGGCCAGAATTTCAGGTGAGAGGTCATGGAAGCCTAAAATAAATAGGGGGCAGCCAGAGAGGAAAAGTAGGGGCAAATTTGAAGAAATTGCAAAAGTAGAGTCTGTAAATATTGACTGCTGGGGTGTGGAAGATTAGGAAGACAGTTGAGTCAAACACAACCCAAGATTCCAGGAGAAAGATGGTATCAATAAGAGATCATCAAGTCAAGAAGGTCTGGTGCCTTAGTGGTCTGCTTCTTAACGTTTAGCATTGTAGAAGCCAGTGGGATACTCAGGCAGTAATGTGGTAAGGGGAGAAGGCACAGGTGGACATTTGGGGAGCTTAACAGAAAGCTTAAGATTATCAAATTGGAATCAAATAGGCTTGTATTCTAAATGCTGACATGACCCCGTATTTGCTGTGTGACTTCGGCAAATGCCTTAATTACCCAAAAAAGCTGGAAATGTGATAATAATAGTAGATGATAATATATAGTGGTACCTAAGAATTGTGAAGATGAAATGAGTTAATGCATGTCAAAGTTCAGCACAATACGGTAAATTCTCAATAAATGACAGATCTTATCTGGTGTCACCTGTTGGAAGTATGGAGTGGACTGATGATATCATTGGGAGAAAGAAAAGAAGTGGAAGGTGAGCAAGGAGGGAGAGGACTCAGAGAAAGAAGGTTGGAGGCTCTTGACTGGTGCTAGAGACCACAGGCTCGGAAGCAGCCTCCTTTCCTCAGGGCTCTCACTGGGCCTGCTGGTGTCCTATGGGAGCAGTGGCAAATCTAAGGCTTGTTTAGGGAGAGGGGAAATAGCGGAGGAAGACAAAAGGAGAGGAGAGTGAGGAACACAGGGACCTCTGGGCCGTGAAGTCAGGTACTCTTAGGGATAGGAAGTGATATTACTCAAGTGGAACACACAGAGTGGAGTCAAAAACCAAGAAATCCAGAAATTCCAGCTAAAAAAAAAAGGCAATGAAAGAAAACCTATCATTCTCTACTTGCTTTTCTTAAAGTCCCTGAGAGAAATATATAGATCATAGCCATGCTTTTAAAGTTGCCTTTCTCCCCCACTTTTCTTCTCTCTCCCTCCCCACAAAATGCATTTTTGCCCACCTCTCTCTTTTCCTCTTTCTCTGTCTCACTTTCCTTCCATCCCTCCCTTCAACAAAAACAAAAACAAAATAAGAGAATATTCTATCAACCCAAGTCAGCTCTCCTTTTCTCCTTCTCCCCCTCTTCCTGGCCTTCCTGTTAGGAATCACAAAACCCCCAAAGGATAGTGGAAAAGGAAGACCAGAATGGAGGGAGGAGATGAAAGGCCAGGAAAGCATATAAGATAATTATTTCTCTCCTGCCACAGAGGTTTCTTCTTCCCTGCACACCATAATTTATAAAGAAAAAGGAAATATCCCAATGTCAAGTTCTACTTGATCCCAGGGGCCTCAAATGCAAAGCCTATGCCTCCTCCCCCGCCCCCCAGCTTTTGGGCCACCTCCCTAAGCCTGGAAGGGGAATCCCAACTCTACCTGTCAATGCTGATGGCACAGAGGTTCAGGATGCTGGCCGTACACATCATGACATCCAGAGTGACAAAAACATCACAGCAAACACGGCTGAAATTCCAGACTCCACCTGTCACCTACGCATCAGAAACAAGGACGTTAGTGTTTTCCGAGAGATGGAAGAACCACCCAATCAGCAGCATTGTCTTCCCTTTGTCACCAGTAAGGCTGCTGACCCCCGTCCGCTCCCCATGGTTGGTACTGTCACCTCAGGGCAGACAGACATCAAGGGAGTACCAGGCTGTCCAAGATTGTTGCTAAGGAAAGGACGAATTCACAGAATGTTAGAATGTTAGTGCTGGAAGGGATTTCCCAAATCAATTAGCCCAGTGTTTCTCAAAGTCCTCAGCAGGCTACTCATTAACAATGTAGGTTTCTGAATCCTTCTTAGACTCACTGAGAGTTTCTGGCTCTGTGGCCTATGAATCTTCATTTTCAAATACCCCAGACATGCCAAGGTTTGAGATCACTGATCCAGTTCAGGCTCAGGAGGCAATGATGCCCTTGCAGTGAAGTGATATGTTCGCACGTGCACAGCTGGTAGTACAAGAACTTGGGTGGCTGCCTGATGTGTATTGTGCCAGAACTGCCTCTCTAAAGCCCTCCGCCCTGTCGCGAGCTCATTGTGTACTCTGGAAATAAACTTAGAGCATGGTGTTTGTAAAATGTACCTCCAAAGCAAAAATCTATCTGGTTTCAGGTTTTGAAGCTTGGGAACATCATAAAACAACGTCTATAAGAACCTACATAAAATAAGTCTGTGTTAATGTGACTGCCTTTGTACTACTGTCCCAATCACCAAGAGGTAGGGGAAAGGGCTGAGTCCAGGGGATTAGGATGGAGAATAGATTCTCTCTACCACTTGCAGAATTAATGAGGGTGCTTTCAACCTCATGCATCTACCATGTACATAATTATAAAAAGTCCAGAATTTAGGTAATTTATATTCTACTACATTGCTATTTTTATTTTAAAAACTTTCAGATAACCTAATTGAAGCAAGAATATATTGGGGAGATGTCATTTTCAGAATGTCTGAAAAGGGCCCCGCATGGGCCTCAAGGCTTTTGTGTATTTGCCAGCTTCCTGCCTGGGGGGCTGCCATTCTTGGGGACCATGGTTCTCAAGGAGGAACCTGAGAAGCTTTGTGCCTCTGGCTGTAGCTGAGTGTTTGTGATATTCCTCCTAAGCAGGACTATTTAAGGGTAAGGAAGAGTGAAAAATAGACACCCTAGCCTCTGAAGCAGCTTCTCAAGGAAAAAACAAAAAAAGAAACAGTTAATGACCAAATGACTGCACAAAAATGGTGCTATTCCTCTCAGTTTTCTTTTTCTTTTTTTCTTTCTTTCTCCCTTCCCTTCCCTTCCCTTCCCTTCCCTTCCCTTCCCTTCCCTTGTCCTCTCCCTTCCCTTCCTTTCTTTTTCTTTCCTTTTTTCTTTGAGACAGAGTCTCACTCTGTTGCCCTGGGTAGAGTGCTGTGGCATCATAGCTCACAGCAACCTCAAACTCTTGGGCTCAAGTGCTCCTTTTGCCTCAGCCTCCCAAGTAGCTGGGACTAAAGGCATGTACCACAATTCCCAGCTAGTTTTCTATTTTTAGTAGAGACGGGGTCTTGCTCCTACTCAGGCTGGTTTCTAACTCCTGAGCTTAAGCAATCCACTCGCTTAGTCTCACAGAGTGGTAGGATTACAGGCGTGAGCCACTGTGCCCGGCCTTCCTCTGAGTTTTCTCATGTAAGAATCTTTTTCTATGACCAGGTTACTTTACTTTTCATTCCTGTTTTATCCCAATACAGTACGGTTCTAAGGAGCTGTCTCTTCTTCTTCGCTAATAACTTCTCATTGGATTTATTTCCTTTCTCCTGTATCCTCTTTTAGCCCTTTGTTCATTTCCAGACTCTATTTTGAGAAAATCTGACTAAAGGAATTTTTTGTTTGTTTAAAAGCAAGAATAAAAAGTTAAAGCTAGTGATAAAGTCATCATTTTTGTTCACTTGGTTGTAAACACCTCTCCTTTAGTTTGACCCCTTGGCTCTATATAAATAAAGGCCTAATATGAACTTATAGGAATTCTTGGCATGAGAAACTTTTTCAAAACGGAGATGTAAAAATTCTGATCTGAGTCATCATAACACAATGATTTAAGGGAGCCAGGAGAATAAAAGATGGTTTTGCTTATTACATAGGATAGTTGCATGTTATAAAAGCTTCTTGCCAAAGTTGATTTTTGCACACTAAATTTTATTTCAACATTGTCTGTACCATAAAATTTATGTTTTAAATTGGGGAGAACCCACTTTTTTGCATAATTGTGAGTGCTGGTTTGTTTATGTGCATTGGGGGCTAGTACAGGTGAGAGAGAATAGGTGGGACCACAGCAAACTTCAGTGCTTGCTGGGTATTCATTAATTCATGCGTTCATAAAGCAGGTACTGGTCAATCGACCAATATAGCTCATTGACGGAAGATATATGTGTTAAGAGGTTTTACAGAAGTACTACAGGGACTATACCAAACAACTTACAACAGGAAAAGCAAGGCATTTTAAAATAAAATAGAGATCATCATGAGATCCTAATATTGTTAATACAAATTGACATTTATTGAGAATTTATATGTGGCACTGACCTACATGACCCATTCCAGCAATTTCTATCATTTTGAAACTCCAGATTTTGCAAATGGAATTGTTTTTTACTGCATGTGCTATTAGAGGTCTTTTGAGGACTATGTTGTACACTTACCTGATAGGAGATTAACTGACTATTATTTAACCAACACCTATAAGAGCAGGGACACTTACTTGTTTGCTGCTCCACGCACAGCTCCTAGAGCAGGGCATGGCATGAAAATATATTGTGGAAAGAAGGAACAGTCTCTGACATAATCTGTCTCGACAACAGCTGACATTATTGAATGCTTACTAAATGCCTGTGTTCTGCAAAGCGCTTTACATGCATGGCCGCCATTGCCGGTGATTGTCCTAATGACAGAGGACTATTACCATCATCCTTACAGAGAAAGAGCCAAAAGCTTAGAGAGATTAAGCACCCTGTGAAAGTTCACAGGGCTAGTAGAGGCAGACAGGGCCCTGGAATGTGGTTCGTTCAGCACCCTGTTATGGGGGAGTGGTTGTGGGAAGATGGATGGAAGTGGGTAGACAGGGGAAAGGTGAAAACCAGGTCCTCCTCCCAGAGTTTTGCCTGGCAGACTATATGGATTCCTTTTTGGGAATGTGACACCCTCCTGATTGGCTCTGTCCCAGAGTGACAAAAAACAGTTCACAAGACGGTAGTGGGTACTGTCTTTGGGGGGAGATGAAAGTACACACACTGCTGGTTTCTTTACTATCCATCCCTCTTGCCCCTAAAGGGCAAAGCCCTCAAGCTGTCCCCTGGCTGCCTGGCCCCCATTGGAGAGCCACCATTCCGGCTGTCCGCTTTTCCTGTCTCCAGATTCTGCCATCAACATTTCCATTCTCTCCTTGATCTCAGCTAAGTGTCAAGAAGAAAACAATCTGATTAGCTGATTAAAGTAATTCCCACTGAGGTGCCATCGCTTAGCTTTCCCTAGTGCTTACTCATTAAAATGAGTTTCTAATTGGTTGGACTTGTAATGACAAAATAATATTTCTTTACTGGAGTCCTCCACACCAAGTAAATCACAGTACGGGATCAATAAAGAGCATCAGAGTGTGCCAAGAACATGCTAGGAACTCTCACACATTATCTCATAGTAACCTGATGAGGTAAATATGATTTCTAATTTATAGATAAAGAAATGGAGAATGAGAGAGGTTGAGTAATTTGCCTAAGGACTCATAGCTTGAAAAAGGGGTTGGAATTTCAACCCCATTCACATTAACCATTACTCCATTCTACCTCTCAAAGGTCAGCACTTCGGAATGCCACTGCTGAGAAGTGCACAACTGAACTCCATTCCAGTATCACAGTAGGGAGAAGAGTTGGCATTTGTCCATCTATGTACCCATATAGCCACTATTTATTGAGTGCTCATTATGTGCCTGACTTTGCATGGGTGGGTGTGTTGAAATGAATTAAACCTGGTTTTGTCCCTAGAGCATCAGAATATACAATGTTCCTGTGAGGGAGATTAATGTGTGAATGGTGTGGCTGAAATGAGAGCCCAGGAGATAGATACTAAAACCATAGCTGGGATGTAACCTGGTAAGGGCCAACAGCGAGGTAAGTACAAAGTGGTGGGAGATCATGAAAGGCAAACTGACTTTTTGAAATTAAGGCAGAAAAAAAGTAAAAGAATAAGTCTGATTGATTTAAGGCTCTTCAGAGACATGCTTCTTTCTCCTGCATTCTAAAGAATAAGTCACTTCAAAATTATACAGCAGCCAGGTGGTGTTACTCTCACTTGCTAATGAATATAACTAACTCCCTTTGGCAATACAGAAGGTGAGAGTAAGCAAGCCCTGTCTTCAGGTACTGAAGTTGGCTATTGATTTTCAACAGACACAGCCTAGGGAAGCATTTCCCAAATTTACTGATTATAAGGCAGCATTTCCCAAATCACCTGAGGCTCTTGTTAAACAAAATGATTCTCAGGCTTCACTCAGAATAAGTCCCTAACATGATTCTCTTTGCCTGGGTTTGGGAAACATTGATTTGGGAGGTGAGGGGGCCAGAACTTTATCTTCAGAAATGGTTGTCCCTAAAGCAGGGATCCGTAAGCATTCTTTTATTTTTATTTTACTTTATTTATTTATTTTTTGAGACAGAGTCTCATGATGTTGTCCTGAGTAGAGTGCCATGGTGTCATAGCTCACAGCAACCTCCAACCCCTGGGCTAAATTGATCCTCTTGCTTCAGCCTCACCCCAGAGTAGCTGGGACTACAGGTGCCTGCCACAACACCTTGCTAGTTTTTTTTTCTTAGAGGCAGGTCTCACTCTTGCTCAGGCTGGTCTCTAACTCCTCACCTTCAGCAGTTTACCTGACTGGCCTCCCAGAGTGCTAGGATTATAGGTATGAGCCACCAAGGCCCTTAAACATTCTTTATGCCCTGGATTTTGTGGGCCTCATGGTCCCCGTCTTAAAAGAATGTATT